TTTTTTTTTTTTTTTTTTGCAGAACCAGGGATTGAACTCAGGCCCTTGCACTTGCCAGGCAAGCACTTATTCTACTGAGCCATCTCCCTGGCCCTAGAACTTTATTCTAAAATCACATGAAATTACGAAAGACCGATACCTTAAAACTTAAGCAAACTCAAAGTGATGGTGCGTCACGTTGACATTGCTATTATGAGGAAAATAATTATTTTATATAACTGAAAAGTAATTTTGGATTATATATCTTTAAGGGCTGTATCTCAAGAGTCACTGAGCCATAGAAGACATATAAGTCTAGTCTATTGGAATCGTATTTTAAAACCAATACCTCCTCTCTGCTCTCTCTCCACAACGCACATAATACAAAATGAGGTTACTCGATTATGTAGAGATAGGATGTCATTGTTAACTAGGATAAAGAAAATGAGTAATCACTGTCACTGTTCCACATCAAAATTTTCAGCACAAGTTAGACGAAAATAAATGTAAAGCAAAAATCCTTCACTAAAACCCCTGGAATCTTCTATCTGCATTGGAAATGTTGACCTGAGCACCTGATGCAGTTTTCTTTTATTCGGAAAACATTTTCTAGCTGGGCTGAGGTAGAAGCCGGGAGCAAAGCCGCCCCGGGGCACCTGCCTCTGCCTCCCTCAGGCAGGCGGGCCAGAAGCACCATTCTCGGCGCGTGGGAGAAATGACGCAGTGGAAGTCCAGCGCAGACCGAGTCTTCAGTATTCTGGGACCTCGCGCACCTCAGGTCAAGTCAGCTAACAGGTGACACCGGAGCCAGGACCGGGATTCCCACTTTCCAAAAATGAAATATTTTTTAACTCTATGTAAAACATAAGAACAAGAAAACCAACCATTCACCAGGCTTCCTCCTGGCCAATCACAAGACTCTACTTCCCGACTCACAACCTGCCTGTCCTGTCCTGAAGTAACCTGCAAACATCATATAAATCACCACTTTGACACTCTTAATTAAAACTTGGAAGGAAATAATCGATAGATCAAAGCAAATTCTTGCAACTGCTTAACACCAATCAATGACAAGTTTATGGGGAACTTTATAACAGATGGGTTGTTCCTAACACCTAAACCCATGGATCAATTTTAATATTAATGAAAG